AGCATCCAAGCCTGCAAAAAACCTGTAAACTTGCGGGAGTAATTGTTATAGTCTCATGAAATCAAACTGGAACTTTTAGGCCATAGTTTCCAATGGTAGGTTAGCTACAATATCAACAGCACATCAACAAAAGAATACCCACAGAGCTTCAAATGACCTAGATTCTCTTTCCTCCAAATATGAAGCTTGGTTTGAACATTATCAGCTCATTAATAGCTATTAATATCTATTGATAACTATTAATAGATAAATAATATCTCAAATTCTTAATCAAAAGCTACTTACAGAGCAGTATATACTACTTCAAAAAGTAGAAGGTAAAATTAAAACAAAACGCTACATTAAAGCTACTAAAATTAGTCAACGCTCTTTTAAAAGTACCTATTGACTCCTCATCAGAGTTGATTTACATTAAAAACAACATCAATAATTTTGTATTATAGACAGAATGTGTAAACTGACACTTTGATTCATTTAGAGAGTACAAAAAAAAAAAAAAAAAAAAACTTTTATTGTGACAGACTGAATTGCATTAGTTTTTTTTATTTCTGTAAATGTCCATTGAAAAACAGGTAGCATATGCCAGGGGACTTTATCTTCAGTGTTTTCTGATATGCTATGTTTGGGACAACCATTGAAATCAAAAGTCATAAAAGGAAAGGAGCGATGAGACACCAACTACTTCCTGGTACATTCCCTTTCAGCTTGAACCTGTTTGACCTGTTATGTCCACAACTTTTTGGCTAGTCCTCTGCATGATGAACAGGTGATACTAATCATCATGTGAAAAACAAAGGGGGATTATTGCAGTCATACCCACCACAGTATGACTGAAAATTACATGATAGCCAGACTTATATGCAAACGTTATATTTTTAAGCCTGTGATATTCAACTTTGGATAAGCTGAGAAACAAATGTGTAAGTCTTATTTTTTTGTCTCTTGCTTTTGTTTCACACGAAACAAGCATAGTTGGAATTTCTTACGTGAACTTAAAACTTTTTTAAGACTGTAAATCCTCACAGAACATGCAAACCAATGGTGTCATCAACCACAACTTCCAAGAATGTTCAGTATGCAAACTTGCGACGGGTCCAGTTGAACTAGTTAGAGCCACAAACAGCTTTAACTGAAATTTGATTTGGAATATGTTTTTATCAACAGCAGAAAGAACACAGTATATTAGAAACCATTAGATTTAATGGGAGGGGGATCACAACTTTTCAACCAGTAAAATTGGGTTTCAGTCTATTCTGCTTGTTATGCCTGTCAGGATCTGCTGCTTCGCCAGCAATCCATCTATTCCTCTCTAGGTGGTCTTCAGAGCTCGCCAGGTGTGGTCTTCCTCACAGGTGTGTTTTGGCACACCTGTGGATCATCAGCGGCTGCATAAGAGGAGCAGTTCCCCAGCGCCACGCCACCAGAGTGTCTCACCATCATGGTCACGTCTAGCTCAGATATTCCTAGAAGTGATTCAGCCAGTTAGCTTTCTTACCTGTTCTTGTCTCTCCATTGTGGTCATCAGATCTCAGCCAAATTACCCATGGCCTTGAAGTCTGAGGTTTAAAGCGCCACCTGGATACTCCATGCGTAAGACACTCCTTTTTCTATTCCCCGTCAAAGAAGGACACCTGCTAGTCTTCTATCTTGCCACCACCTAATCCTGAAACTGGCTCAGGTCCCCACAAGTAGGTCCAGTCCATTAAGAGTCGATTTCTCCCCTCTGGGTCCTCATCTGCATAATCTGCCTCCAGATCGCTGTCCACTGCCGACTCGATTCCAGATCATATACTCCGTGGATCCCTTTGTCGAATCATTCCTTTGTTCGTTCTGTAAATAAGTCCTATATCTGATTTTGTTTTGCATGTGTTGTTTTGCACAGTTGTTTTACATGTGGGTTCTGAAATTACAGAACAACATGACAATGCCTTATAGCTAAAGCAGCTGTTTATTCTGAGCTGGTTCTGTATGGCCATACAGTGCCGATAAAACATCTCCTTTGAATACTTCCCCCTTTTATTGCTCTTACAAAATAATCATGAACAAAATTGGACTTATTCGACAAAAAAAATAAATAAAAATACAAAAAGTCCTCTTCATGTCAATTTGAAAGTGAATTTGTACAAAATGAAGAAAATTAAATCACATTTACC